AAACTTCCACAAAAAGGAACAAACCCAGGAGAAGGCCAAGTTATGAATATGGTCCTTCAGCAAAAGAGCAACTTCATTCAGGATTAGTTTCACATCTCTGTCCAGTATTGTAGATCTTCTCAAAAATTTTCTTCATCTTAAAACTAAATTGTATCCCATAGAATATTGCAAACTGATAATATTTTCATTTTTTTTCCCAAAACAGCGTGGTTGTATGTTAACTTATGGTAACCCCATGAATTTCATGGGTTTTCTTAGGCAAGGTATATTTACTAAATAAAGATAACAGATATTTTGAAAACAGAAAAAACAAGCACACCAGAAAGTTAAATTTCTTCACTCCCAATCTACAACAAAATATTGAGCCCGTGCAGAAGGTTGTAACATGCATAACCAGGAAGACTATAGACAGAAGACAGAGACAGACTTCCCATTTCTTTACCTTTGTCACTGTAGTGCTTGTTCTTTCCTTCATAAATCAGACTAAACTCTTAAATCAGTTTCAGCAGTCAAGATATGGATGGGTACTTATATTTCCTTCATAAATCAAACTAAACTCTTAAATCAGTTTCAACAGTCAAGATATGGATGGGTACTTATATCCAAACACATTGCTTTTGCAGCTGCTTAACTCCTCCCATTGCATGAACATGTTAGAAAGGCAGGTTTTCATTACATGAGAACAAGATACTATGATGAAGGCCTTTCACATAAGCCAAGAGCCATAAACCAATTTTAATCCCAGATTTAAAATCAGTTTTAAATCTTGTCTTGTTCAAAATACATTAATCATAGCTCCCTGTTTTGAAATAACAAGAAGCCACAATTGTTTTCTTGGCTTGTTTTGTTCCTTGTGAGAAGAGTGAGTACAGTTGTTATTTGTGGATGGCACAGTGCTTGTAATTACCCTGGATTTATAAGTTAAAACTGACTGTCTTAATATAGTCATTTATCCTTTGCTCAGTATGAGAACTCAGTCTGTTAGTCTGCGGGTAGGGTCCATGCTTTAGTTACAAACAACTCCTAACTTAAAGATTACTACTATTTGTGGATATCTGAGAGGCTGCAAGGGAAATAAAATGTGAGAATAGAAGGGAAAAATCTAAAGCATCAGATAATCGTATAGGAGAATTACATGATTACTAGAGTGCCAGTAGCAACTTTCAGTACTTGTGCATACTGCTAAAGATGTTATCAGACGGTTGGGGGAAAAACGGAGGGAAAAAATCTTTCCCCGTCTTCTGGGATGGCCATCCATCCCATGTCCTTTCACTGTAATCCCCTGTCTTTCCTCTGCTTTACCCTGTATTTCTCTATCAAGAGTCTATTGACACCTAACTCCTGATAGATATCTTTGGGCTCACTTTCCATGCGCTTGGAAAATGGAGCACAGCGAAATCCCACCTGAAGTGCCCTCATGACATCTGATGGTTTCTGGGAGACTCCTGTGGGTCTTTGTTTCCCAAGCCCGAAGATCATGAGATGAAGTCCTAAGACTCAATGCTTGTTGTTTCAGCACTCCCTGAATATTTGTGTTCCATGACATTTTGTCCTGAATGAAAAGGTGTGGCTACTCATTAATCTTACGAAATAAGAAAAATATGGTGCAATTACTACAGACTAACAGACTGAGTTGTCATTCAGAGGACCTTTCCATTGGCCGCCCCTAGATTATGGAATGACCTGCCAGAAGAGCTAAACAGATAAGCAAGGTATCAGAATTTTAAAAACAATTAAATACCTATCTCTTCTAGCAGGCTTACCCAGGCAATTTTAATCTATGAAATTTAACTTTAATCGTTTTAATCTTTGTTCTACGTTTCTAATACATGTATTTAATGGTCTTGTGTTTTATCGGTGTGTTTTAACTATGTTTATCCTCCTTGAGTCATGAGGCGAGGTGGGTAACAAATAATAATAATAATAATAATCGCACGAGGCAGCATCAAGGCGTTTATGAACTACAGTATTTCCTATAGCCCCAAGTAACGTAAAGGCCTTGATTGGTTAATGAACTATGAGAAGGATACTCCAGTAATTTTTCATATTCATATTTAAAAGACTTGCAAGAGATGGAAGTGTAAACAAAATCAAGTCGAACTAAGTAATATAGGCTTACTCACAGATATACCTCATTTATAGTAACAAAACTTGCCCTTAAATTAAAATGGATTTTTGTGGCATTTGACTAACAGAGTGTAGTAAAAGTGTCCCTTTCTTTAGGCACTTGCTTCCATTTTAAATATGTGCATGTTTGAAACCCTATATTTTTAGCACTCAGGTGACCCGAACAATGGCAGCATAACAACTAAGAAGCTTAGCTACCAGTGGCAGGTCTTGCTCTTTTTATTCTAATCATTCTTAATAACAGAGGATCACAATGACAGAGGCCAACCTTTTGTTAATGGAAAAGAAGAAATTCTAGGAACCTTTTATACAGACCACCTGATATACTATGGATACCTTGCCCATTTGAAGTTCATCCTATAAGTCAATTTGATGAAAAAACAAAACTCTGAAAGAGAAGTAAATACACACAGACATGCTTTACTCTCTCCAGCCCCAGACATTTTCTACTCCTAGGAGTTGAATAGTTAAATCAGACCACAAATCCCACTTTGATGTGACAGGGTAATGACTCCTAAAACACAGGCCAAGAGGTATGATGGGAACAGCTTTGGAAAAGAATGTGCATCTACACTGCAGAGTGTGACATCCCTTGAACTGCCATCATGGCTCAATGCTATGGGATGATGGCATTTGTGGTTTGGTGAGGCACCAGCACTCTTTGGCAAAGAAGGCAAAAGACGTAAATCTACAACTCCCACAATTCTACAGCATTTAGTCATGGCAATTAAAGTGGGATCAAACTGCATTCATTGTATTACGTAGCTGCACTCTAAACCTGTTAAACCCAGAGATTAAGATGGGGTGGACTGGAGGGAGAAGCAAAAGTCCCAGACATTCAAAGAAGGCAACAGGTGCTGCCATAGCAACTCTCCACACCTGGGATACAGCACAGGTTCACTATCTGTAGTGTGAAATATTCAAGATCAGAAATATTTTTGGATTTTGGGACACCTGTATTTGCACATATGTCCAAAACGAGACATCTTGGAGGTAAGAGCTCAAGTCTAAACACCAAACTCACAGATGTTCCATATACATCTCGTACACATGCCATGAATAATTTTATACACAATGTATTTCAAATCACTTTGTGCATGAAACGAAGTGTGTGTTCTGTGAACCATCAGAAAGGGAAGGTGGAACTCTTTCCAAAGGAACAATATTGAATTCAGGAGTACTTGGGAATTCTGGATAACCTGTAACATGAGGAAGGCTCAATCCTCTCTGTCAGAGCTTTCTAAACTGTGTGTTGCAACATGTTAAGTGTGTCAGCTGCCACGCAAACGTAAAGAGAAATTTCAGAGTCTATATGAAATAAGCAATAAATCATATTTCCATTTAAAAGATAAATGAAGGCTTTTATTAGATATGTTACGCCCCCATACATTTCGTGAATACAGTTATATATGTGTTTGAATCTCTTACAAGGGGTTGGTTTAAAGCAGTGGTTCCCAACCTGTGGTCCGTAGACCACCAGTAGTCTGCAAGAACTAAAATATGAACTACACTGTTGCAACAAGAGCAATACCCTCTTATAGTACCGAAGCTGATTAAATATGGTTTTCTGTGAGTGAGCAGATTGTGATAACAGGATGGCATATTTTCTGTATCAGAAACTAGAGCTGATGTGGTCTATCAAATGCAATTTTATGAATCAGCACACCAAATAACCAAACCGAATCTAAAGTTGACCAAAAACAAATTTGTAATCCTTTTGGTGCTAATGTTGGAGAATGGTCCCTGGTCAAAAAAAGGTTGGGAACCATTGGTTTAAAGTAACTCTGGGTTGCTAGTAAGACTCGATTACTGTATCGTGAAATGATGCAGGTCTAAAAAGTGTGCAGCTCACGTGAAATGCCTGGAAAGCCCTACTCTGAACGCTTGTGCAGAAGGAATGTTTGTGTGTGTGGGTGTGTGTGTGTGTGGGGGGGTATTTCTGAATCTTGGATAAGGAATGCGGAGGAACTGGTATTTCATTTTGTTGTGCCCTTGTTTTCCCAGAGCCCCTTCCCCATGCACTACGTTTCCCTCTCTTACTATTAGGGGGCATCTACACTGTAGAGTGAATGCAATTTGACGCCGCTTGAGTTTTTTTTTCTTGGTTGTGTCAAGAGCGACTTGAGAAACTGCAAGTCGCTTCTGGTGTGAGAGAATATGCCATCTGCAAGGGGACGCTCGGATGTTTTTGATGTTTTACCATGCTTGTAGGAGGCTTCTCTCATGCCTCCACATGAGAAGCTGCAGCTGATAGAGGGAGCTCATCCACGCTCTCCCCAGATTCGAACGTGTGACCTGTCGGTCTTCAGTCCTGCCAGCACAAGGGTTTAACCCACTGTGCTACCGGGGGCTCCGCTGCTTGAGCTGCCATGGCTCAATGTTAGGGAATCTTGAGATTTGTATTTTTGGTTAGGCGCTATGCAATCTCTTGGCAGAGAAGGCTAAAGACCTTGTGAAACTACAACTCCCAGGATTCCATAACACTGAGCCATAGCAGTCAAAGTGGTGTCAAAGTGCATTCATCTAACAAGTATGGGCAAACTTGGGCCCTCCAGGTATTTTGGACTTCAACTCCCACAATTCCTAACAGCCTCAGGCCCTTTCCTTTCCCCCCTAAGCCGCTTAAGCGGCTGAGAGGGAAAAGGAAGGGCCTGAGGCTGTCAGGAATGGTGGGAGTTGAAGTCCCAAACCCCTGGAGGGCCCAAATTCGCCCATGCCTGGTGTAGGTGTGGATACACTCCCATTCCCGCCGCCCTTTAGATGCAGCCGCCTTCCTGCCTCTTTCTAAGAAACGGAGAAGCATGAGGTCGGGTTCATGGAAGGCAACGCTGGATTTTTCTGAGGGGAAAGAGAGCGAAGATGCTGTCCCTCACCTGCGCCTCCTTTCGGACTTCGCCCGCTGCCACCTCTCCTGCCGCTGCTCTTCCATCGCTTCCTCCTCCTCCTCCTCCGTCGGCGTCCAGCTGCCGCTCCCGGTAGAGCGCCCAGAGCCCCACGTTGGGGAGGAAGACGAGGGCGGCCAGCGCCAGCCCCGTCGCCTGCAGCAGCCGCTTCTGCTTCCGCCGCATCCGAGACACCACGGAGAGGGAGAGAGAGAGAGGGAGGGACGGAGGGAGAGAGCGCCCAACTTTCCTCTCTTCTCCTCTCCTCTCCTCTCGGGTTGGCTTCCTGAGGGAAATGAGCCAGCCAGCGCCCCGTCGGCCCCGTCTCCTGGCCACTTCCGCTCCGGAGGGGTGGACACTACCAGTCCCGGCGACAGCTAAGGGAGGGAGGGGGGAGGGGGGAAAGGGGGAGGCTCGCGCGCGGCCACGCCCACACCTCCAGCCAGGCCACGCCCACCGCCGCCGCCCGTTGCGTGGAAGGATCGGCGCGAGGCGGCTCCCAGTCCCCCTCCCTTCCCCTCGCGCCTGCGAATGGTACTGGCCCTTTCGCTTCAGAAGCCCCAGGGAGGGGAAGAGGAAGGAGGTGGGAGGCCGCTTCTCCGTGTCGTAGTATGTGTCCAAAGACCTTGTCATGCTTACAGTGCAAGGCCATAAAGGTGGTGGGGGGGGGGGGGGCTCCATTGTAGTGGGATATAGAAAGCCCTGTGTAGAAAGGAGGACCCAGGAAGGAAGGAAGGAAGGAAGGGAGTGACAGTTGGGTTTAAGGGCCGTTCAAAGGAGGGGGCTTTAGATGGCTGCCGGTGTTGGTTGAGCAACTGATTATTTCGGTTTTCAAAGCCTTGCTCTGCTAGGGAAGGAAGAGAAAAAGGAAGATCTGATAGATAGATAGATAGATAGATAGATAGATAGATAGATAGATATGACATTTATATGCCGCCCTTCTCACCCCGAAGGGGACACAGAGCAGTTTACAAGATATACATGCATACAGTACATACAATCTATCTATCTTAGAATCATAGAATCATAAAATCATAGAGTTGGAAGAGACCTCATGGGCCATCCAGTCCAACCCACTGCCAAGAAGCAGGAATATTGCATTCAAATCACCCCTGACAGATGGCCATCCAGCCTCTGTTTAAAAGCTTCCAAAGAAGGAGCCTCCACCACACTCCGGGGCAGAGAGTTCCACTGCTGAACGGCATTCACAGTCAGGAAGTTCTTCCTAATGTTCAGATGGAATCTCCTTCTTGTAGTTTGAAGCCATTGTTCCGCGTCCTAGTCTCCAAGGAAGCAGAAAACAAGCTTGCTCCCTCCTCCCTGTGGCTTCCTCTCACATATTTATACATGGCTATCATATTCCTCTCAGCCTTCTCTTCTTCAGGCTAAACATGCCCAGCTCCTTAAGCCGCTCCTCATAGGGCTTGTTCTCCAGACTTGATCATTTTAGTCGCCCTCCTCTGGACACATTCCAGCTTGTCAATATCTCTCTTTATACCTATCTAAAAATGCTCTGTGCATAGCGAGTACCTTAAAAACAAAAGAACCAATGAACGAAGTCACACCAAATTTGGCAACAAAACGTCTCACAACTCAAGGAGTGACCATCACTCAAAAATTATGATTTTTTCATTTGGGAGTTGTAGTTGCTGGGATTTATAGTTCACCTACAATCAAAGAGTATTCTGAACTCCACCAATAATGGAACTCCAAATGTGGCACACAGGACTCCCATGACCAACAGAAAACACTAGAAGGGTTTGGTGGGTATTGACCTTGAGTTTGGGAATTGTAGTTCACCTACACCCAGAGAGCACTGTGGACTCAAACAATGATGGATCTGGACCATACTTGGCACTAATATTCCATATGCCCAAATATGAACACATATGGAGTTTGGGGAAAATAGACCTTGATATTTGGAAGTTGTAGTTACTGGGATTTATAGTTCACCTACAATCAAAGAGCATTCTGAACCCCACCAATGACAGATTTGGGGCAAACTTCCCACACAGAACCCCCATGACCAACAGAAAATACTTAAGGCCATCCAGTCCAACTCCCTGCACCAGGGCAAGAAAACATAATCAAAGTCCTCCTGACAAAGAGCCATCCAGCCATAGATATAGAGAGATATATATGATTCACACACAGAGAGATATAGTATCACAGATTTGAAAGGGACCCCTAAAGGACAATAATATGTTGCATGTTCCAGAGCAGCAAACCAGTCAATTTTCACATCAATACTGACAAAGGAACAGCAAGAAATACTGTTTACCCACAAGCATAAAGAAATTACATATATTAGAAACCAACACTTTCTCATTACTTTTCCAGATCACCAGACTGGGCCATAGCAATGCGTGGCAGGGGATGGCTAGTATATTATATTATTAGCATAGCACAATATCAGTATTATATATTACTATATTGTACTATACCATTATATTGTAATATTATTTGTAATATTACATGTAATATAAAATATATAATTATAATCTTGTATTATTAGTATTATATTGCATTATTAGTAAAGCACAGGAGACAAGATGGAACTGATCTTCTGCCCCCCTCTCTCTTCACTCTGGACCAGAGAAGCAGTTGTTGCGGGGGGTGGGTGGGTTCTGGGCAGTTTCCAAGTAGCAAAACACCACCATACAGAGTACGCAAAACATAAGTATAGAAATATCAAAACAGCACAAATACATTAATACACTTTATTTATATTTCACCCTTCTCCCTTAGGAGACTCAGCGGAATACTGCATTTACATACATAGGCAAACATTCAATGCCTTTACAATCATATACAATGAAACAGACAAACACAAACAAAGGCAGAGGCTTCTCCTTTCATTTCCGGCTTTAGGAGGCGGTGCTCATCTCTGGGACTTTTTGCACCTTGAGAGAAAGAAAAAATCACCCTTTTAACTGTATCCATTCCCATGTAATCTCCATCTGAATTTAATATTTCATATTGTAAGGTGCACAGTTTCAAAAGGTGCTAAAGTATTTGTAGAAAGGTGCTGCTGTTAAGAAGCTGCTAGGCACAGAGAGCTGACTCTAGCCACTTAGTTTTAATGCCTAGTTAAATTGTACATCTAACCATATTGTTCTTCTAAGTTATTCCCTTTGTTTGCCAATTGCTGCATTTCCTTTCCCCTTTTTCCAACTCATTATGCACTAATTTGTATTCAACAGCTGAATATTTTGTTTTGCCTTTATAGACTTGACAATAATTACAGTCATAATGGGAATTTTAAAGGCTTCTTTTAATCAACACTCCTTAGAAATGTAAATAATTTTAATTATTGTAAATGTAAAGTGAGCTAATGCCTTCGAATTTTTAAAAATATTGTCAAAAGAGACAAAATAGATTTCTAATACCTGCGCACGTTTATATAAAACTAAAAATATATTTGCTGATCAATCACATTATTCAATGCACAGTACTACGAAGAGTCTGAAGTGACTGAATGAATAAACAATAAAGAGCTGTTATCCCTTTGCTCTTTCTGCTAGACCAAGAGTAGCTATGCCATACACATTACTCCAGTGATCCTCTATTTGCAGCCATGTTGACATACTGCACTACAGGTGACATTTTTTCAATATTTCAGTTATTTTTTCATTGAACAAATTTACACACAGTGTAGTCTGAGTACTTGCATTGAAGTTTAAGTGCCAAAAATGTGCAAATGCTAAAGGTTTTTTTTTTGTTAAACTGTTTTTTAGGAATGGGCCTAAAATGGTACAACTGAAATTACCAATGTGTTTTGGAGCCCCTGGTGGCTCAGTGGGTTAAACCCCTGTGCCAGCAGGACTGAAGACCGACAGGTCGCAGGTTCGAATCTGGGGAGAGCGCAGATGAGCTCCCTCTACAGCTCCAGCTTCTCATGCGGGGACATGAGAGAAGCCTCCCACAAGGATGGTAACACATCAAAGCATCCGGGCGTCCCCTGGGCAGTGTCCTTGCAGACGGCCAATTCTCTCACACCAGAAGCGACATGCAATTTCTCAAGTCGCTCCTGAGATGACAACCCCCCCCCCCAAAAAAACAAAAACAAAACAAAAGAACACCCCTATGTGTATTTAGCAGGAGGAATACAGTGGATCAAAGATCAACAATAATTGGGACCGGAGAAAAATGAAGTGTTTTTGAAATCTCTGGTTTTTGCAAAAGTGCGAGAGAAAATACCAATAAATATATTCAATTTCATATGTTACTCAAATACCATTCTATGGCATGGTGAAAATGAGCAATGAATGTCTTGGGCAAAAAAAATCAGATACTCAAAACCTGCCAGACAGGAAGTTCCATGATGTATCACTTTGTCACTTACAGTACAGAAAGTATGGTCTGTTTATATAAAGTCTTACACAATGGATTTCCTTCTTTACATGTCTTGAACTGCAATATAAGTCATGTAGATTTCCTATTTGTCATTAATTCTGTGCTTGGCGACCGCAACCGCTTCATGTTTGTCAGCCAGCCATTTTTGCCACGTCATAACCAAAATCAAGACTTGGCTGTGAGCCAACACTTCAGATCTCCTCCCATTTTATGAAAATATTCATTTCTTCAAAACACAATCCTGTGTACAGGTCAAGTTTAACAGAGTTTGGGAAAATTATTTTCTGAAGTTCGGTACAGATCTCACAGTTCTGTGAAATGTAGCCCCAAAAGTAATTTTTCCAAGTTCTGCTTTATACTTGGGAAGGGGTTTATATTAAATCAATAATTGTATTAGGCTAAGGTAAACTGCTGAATTGTGGCAAAATCCTTTTGGATTGGCAGCTTAAAGGAAAAGGTCTTATTGAACTAGATTGCATTCTTTTATATTTTTATATTATAAAAGTACGTTCTATTTTTAATGTTGTGTTTTTCTACAGGGTCAGCATGGTGTGGGGATTTTAGTATTGTCCAACAGGCCTGGAAGCCAGGGTTCAGATACTCTCTTGACCATATAAACCAATAGCTTTTGGTTTGTCACACTCTCTCAGCCTTAGAGCAAAGCAAATGCAAACTATCTCTGAAAAATTCCTACTAAGAAAACCCTGTAATGTGTTCACTTTAGTATTGCCATAAGCTGGAAATAGAACTATCCTCTCTTTCTTCCTCCTCCCACTCCTGATAAAAATATACATATAAATTTGGCACGTAATCCACTAGGTGGCAATCTTCCAGCAAATTTAAAATTCATCACATGCCAGCCAATTAAATGATCCCAAACAACAATTAAGTAACATGCTGTTTTTAGAATACCTATGTCACCCGTACTTTTAGTTTCACTAAGCTGTGAACCTAAAACGTCTCAAAGGTTTAGAGTTAGTCACAGTTGTTGTAGTTCCCCTCCCTGAAATGCAAGTATTTTCATTATT